AATTCTGTCATTCTGTTTCTTCAGCCAGGGAGAAACCACATCCCTTAGTTTCAGCAGCTTCCTCCAGGCCCAAGAGCTACTATACTGCACCCTATATGACCATAAATCATGTTGCCTGCACTTATATTCATTCATCCAGGCCACCCAAAGAGTCCCTGAGTTCAAGATGAACAACCTGAGAAGTCTAGTACAGCAAGCCTGATTCCATGCCCCCAAATCCTTAACACCCAGCCCTCCCTCTTGTTTTGGGAGGGAAACATACTTCCAAGCAACTTTTGCCCTTCCCTCGTCCACTCCATGCCAAAGGAACTGTGAGCAAATTTTCTCAATCCTCTTCAATGCTTGCTTAGGTAAAACAAACAATTGCATCCAGTATTGAACAATTCCCACAAGCACAGAGTTCAAAAGCTGGAGCCTACCCGCATATGTTAGCTTTTTGGCTCTCCAGGACCTGATGCGTTTTGTAATTTTATCCACAAGTATATCAATTTCTGATGAAGAGAGTTTACCTGCTAGAAGAGGTAAACCCAGATACCTTACTGGTAGTTTCCCCTCTTTGAATCCAGAAAGCGCAAGAGCATTACTTTTGTACTTCACTGATTCTCCCCCAAAATAGATTTCACATTTTGCTGGATTACAATTGAGGCCTGAAACTTTGTAGAACTGTTGGAGTACTTCCTTTACCTGAATAATTGCCTGTGCAGACCCTTTGGTGAAAATAAGGAGATCATCTGCGAAGCACAAATGATTCAAGGCCCCTCTCCTGCACTGAGGATGGAAAGGCAGCCTTCCTGATAAGCTGGCTTCTTTCAACAGTGTGGAAAAGCCTTCCATGGCAATTGTAAATAGGTAAGGTGACAAAGGGTCACCTTGCCTAACCCCTTTCTTTGCACGAAAAAACCCACACAGACTGCCATTAATATTAAAACTGTAATGGGCTGTTTGCAGGCAACTTCTAATCCATAATAAAAACTTCTCAGGGAAACCTATAGTTTTCATCATAATGAACAGGTATCTCCAATTCACAGAATCGAATGCCTTCATTATATCAACCTTTATTGCACAGCGAGTTGTAAGATTCTTCCTGTTATATCCACTCACTAACTCTTGGGCCAAAAGAATATTATCCATGATACTGCGCCCCTTGATGAATGCAGATTGGGAACCACTAATGATCAGTGGCATAATCTCGCTAATTCTGTTCGCTAGGATCTTTGCAAAATTCCTAAGCGAATCAGCATTAGAGACCTTTGGTAACAGTGATACTGCTGTGGAATTAACACCACTAGGAAGCATACCTGACTCAAAGAAGAATAGGACTCCTTTAGACACATCCTCCCCAATAATACTCCATGTCTTCTTGTAGAAACCAGCAGAGAAGCCATCTGGCCCTGGGGCTTTTTGAGGGTTCATACAAAAAACAACTGCTCTTATTTCATCCTTTGTAACCTGCTTAATCAGCTCAGCACAGTCTCCCTGTGGTATTTTGTGTATAACCAGCTTCTGTATTTCCTCTGAACTAGGCTGAATTTCCTCATTTACTTCTCCCAACAGTTTTCTATAGAAGCTAAGCACCTCCTCCTCGATCTGATCAGTTTGATATACTTCTTCACCTGATTCCCTCACCAGCTTCCTGATTGCCCTTTTGGAGTTACGAATTTTCACTGCCTGATAGAAGAAATTTGAACATTTATCCCCAACAGTGAGCCAAGAGACTCTGGACTTCTGCCAGCAAAAGCTCTCATAAGCTTTTGTCATTTGATCAAACTGGTTTTTAGCTTGTTTAGTAGCCTCAAAGCTCTCTGTTGATGGATCAGAAAAAGACTGAACATTAGCATTGTGAAAGGCCTCTGCAGCAGCCTTAACCTGGTCCTGAAGATTCCCATACACTTCTCTATTAAACCTCTTAAGAGCTTTCTTTACCTCTCGCATTTTCCCCTGTATGATCTGCCATGGATTCCCAAAAACCTCCACCTGCCAGGCTTCCTCCACAATATCCAAAAACTTAGGATGTTCCGACCAAAATTCGAAATACTTAAACGGTTTAGGCTTGGACTGAATTGGGATTTCAGTATGTACTTGCACACCACAATGATCAGAAAAGTTACCCGGAATCACCTCAATTACACAATCCTTGAACTTCTCGATCCAATCCAGATTGACCATTGCTCTGTCAAGCTTCCTAGCAATGGGGTTGTTAACCTGCCTGTTGGTCCAAGTAAACTGTGGACCAGATGTCCTGTGATCCAGCAATTACATGTCACCAATCCAAGTGTTAAAATCAACCATACTGCTAGTGACACTCCTCTGGTTTGATGTCTCCTCAGGGCTTCAAACCGTGTTGAAAAATCACCTCCCACAACCCATGGATAGCCTGCCACCTTGTATTTAGCCAGCTCTTTGTAAGTTTCTTGACGTTCTGATTCCTCATTTGAAGCATACACAGCTGTCAAGAAAACCTTGTCTTTATTCAAATCTTCCACCAAGCAGTGCACAAAATTTCTCCCTGGTTTGATCACCTGAACTTTCATCTCTGGTACCCAGAAAAGCCAAACTCTGCCCATAGTAGAATCCACACACTCTATACATCTCTCCCAACCAGCAAAAATCTCCTCAACTGCCTCTTTAGCTTTTTCTGATTTTATTCGTGTTTCAAGAACTGCAACTATATCTACCTTATTCCTTCTAAGGACTTGCATCAAGTCCCTCTGTTTGGAGGTTTTATTAAACCCCCTCACGTTCCAAAATAGGATAATCATTTAGAAGATGGGGGTTTCCCCCCTCCTCCTTTCCACTGGTCTTTCTTTGCCTCTTTTTTCTTTGGAGCACCCATAATCCTACCAGGTTTCTTGTCCCCTAATTGGCCCAGAACATTGAAAGAAGAAGATGATGCTTGGATAGCATCCTTAGTTTTATCAGGTAACCACACTCTGGGTTTTGCACCATTGACAACCCTTTGGAATTCATCCTCAGTAGGTAACTTGGGTGAAGGTGACCCTGCCACTGCTGCAAACGACCGCTCTAAGTTTTGAGGAGCAATCTTACCCGCATCAACCAATGGAGGGCTGGTGAAAATAGCTTGCAGTTGAGGATCAACACTCTCTTGCGCCTCCTTACCCTTTGCACCTTCCAAGAGCTTAGTAACTGGTTTATCCAAGACTCCCTCAGCTGAAGCCTGTGAGGATCGAATCTCCTGCTCTGCCACTGGCACCCACTGCTTCCCATGGTGCGCAACACAAGCCCCTGTTACCCCAAAGACCTTGCACACTGAACAAACCGGGGGCAGATTACAGTACGAGACCCCAATTCTAATTGATGAATCATCATCTGGCCACAGCATAACGTGATCAGGGCAATCACTCTCTACAGTTAGCTCAACCAGCACCTTAGCGAACCCATGCCTGTTACCAACCCGAGTTGTATGGTCAACTCCCAGCGGTACTCCCACCCAGCTAGCAATACGACTTAGTCCATGAAAATCGTTATACTCAAGCGGCACATTCGACAGATGAACCCAGATTGGAAGCGCCTTCCGCCCTAAATCTTCGAAGCTAATACCAGGAACCCAAGGGCGAAGATATAGCAAATTGTTAAACCAGAACCATGGGCCATTCTCTAAAATCCACTCGCAAACCTGTTGATTTGGTAGTTGAATCAGTAGCATCTTGTCATAGAGCATCGACACCCTAACCAAACCCTCTCTCCCCCAGAGCTTATTGACCCATCGACGCAGGACATAGAGAGATGGAGGGTCCTGGAGGAACTGCCCGACCAAGCAATTCTTCCATCGCGCCGCTCCCGCCTCGCGAACCTCCTTAGGCATTCGGAGACCTCCATTTACCACTTCTGGAGGGATGTACGTAAGGCGATTCGCTTCTGAGATTCCAAACAGCGACGCCCAGGGTTTCGTCGGAACACCCCTAGCATCACCGCTCGATGCCTCCGTTGCAGGTGAGGAATCGGCAACACACGGACCACTCATGAGAAAAGAATAAGAGGGGGAACAGAAGCTGCTCCGACGCAGATGCCAGAGCTGGCCACAGGCAGCGACGAACGGGAAACCCTGAGCACCAGAATCGCACACTCTCGCTCTACTCTCTCGCACTTCTCGGTTAACTACTTTGTTTGGTTTTAGGAGTAGTAACATTTTGTAAAATTAACAAATGTATTTTTTTTATTAATTTTTTTCTCACAAACATACCCTTTTAATAATAATAAAATGTAAGGAAAATATTCTTCCGTCTGATTATCGGTTAATGACCATTTAATAAGTTAAAAAATGACCAAATTACCCCTTATTTACTCCTAAACACTCCTAATTTCGATTTAGTCATTTATGTCCCTTATCCAATTAATTAAAACTTTACTACTCTCGGCCTTTCTCTTTGATAGACCAAGCATTCCGTCTTCCTCTACTCCCCCTGACTCAGAGAAATCCGGCGCCATCAATAGACTAGTGTTAACGGGGACACTCAAGATGCGAAGATTGGAGCAATCTTGGTTGAGACAACCCACTTATTACAGTCCCAGACTAATTTCTTTATTCGGTTTGTTGGTCGTGCTCGAAATAGGACGGCTCACTTGATAGCTCGGCATGCCCTATTATTGTTGCCTCATGTGTTCTCGAGGTTCAACTTTACTCGTTCTTCGTTAGCTGCTCTGTACTAGATAATTTTGTACATATTATTTCTCTTCATTGAGTGACTTCGATGGGCTGGTTAGGGGTGGTCAGCATACAAAATTTGATATTTGAATTGAATTGAATATATATGATCAATGAATTTGGATCCTATTTCCATCATCTCTCATGAATTTGTAAAAAAGATTGATTCGAAAAAGTAAATTAATTTAAGCCCGATTCTAAACAAGCCAAATCTATGTGTTTGATCCTATCCGGAGACTGGTAGGGTTTTAGTATCGTATTTCAGTTGGCGGACAAGGAAAATAAACCTAAAGAACAAACCCTAGCTAGCTAGCTAGCACTCTCGTCTCTCTCAATTAAAGTTTTTATACTATCCCGCCGTCGATCGGGATGTCGAAAGCGTTCACCTTGGACTCCGACAAAATATTCATCACACCATGTGTCAGTGATAGTAATAGTAGTAGTACTCTTAAAGTCTGCTGGTACAAGGGCGACCTGAACGACGATTTCCAGCGGCCGCGCGGCCGCCGGCTTGACGGGCATTGGGGCGACAGTAGTCGAGTCCGCGTCGGCCCTCTGGAACAACAATACAAGGCGCTGCAAGTCTTTGGGGCCACGGTCAAGGGATACCAGTTCATAGTGCTGGTGAACGATCTCATTAAGATGCGAGGGGGCAGCTCCGCGACGGGATTCAACGTTTTCGTGAACCGCATCGGCCTCTGCATAATCAGCCGGGTCAACGGCGGCGGCGGCGGGGCCCTGCGGATCAACGATCTCTTTGGCTGGTCCAAGTACGGCGTGAAACTGCCCCGTGACGTCGGCACCGGGTACACCGCGTGGGACAGAGTCGACATGTACACCGGAGAAACCGTGCTGGACGTTCGAGGAATGGTGAGAGCCGGCAATGAGCTGGCGAGCAAGTTGGAGGAGGAGGTGGAGAAGGTGATTAATTAATGGGCTTATGAAAGTAGAAACCAATGTAGTCAAAAGCGAGTTCTACATAGAAATGTTTTGCTAATCTAGAAGCGTAAAATCGTAAGTTTTTAAGTTTTAAAGCGGGGTTTTTTAACTATGTAAGTTGTAAAAACTAAGTTTGTGTGTAGAAGCGTTTTAGTGACCTAAAACCGTAAAATCGTAAGTTCTTTAAATTTTAAAGCGCGATTTTGACTACCTTCGTAGAAACGATGACTTTTGTACTTCTTTTTTTGTGAATCAGAATCACACATTGATCTATCTAAAACTATGCAGTTCAACGATCGCCCTGATGATCGGGAAAGATGTGACGAGAAGTTACTTGATCAACACAGCAGCAGAGTGACGAGCATTGGCATGTACACTGCGACGACGAAGGTTGGCGGAACTTTCAGCTCTGCGGAGGAAGCCAACCAGGAGCTCCGACGGAGGTTGGAGGAGAAGAGCGCAGAATTGATGGCATGCAAGAAGGAATTGGAATGGAGCAAGAAAACGGAGTCCCTTTTGAGCAAGTTAGTGGAGGAGAAGAGCGCAGAATTGATGGCTTGCAAGAAGGAATTGGAATGGAGCAAGAAGACGGAGTCCCTTTTGAGCAAGGAATTGGAATGCCAGCTGGAAGCCACTCAAGCTAGAAGAGAAGTTGCGTCATTGAGAGCCAGATCTGAAGCTGCTCTTGCAATAATAAGGCAGAGAACCTTAATTGAAAGGGAGACAGCTGCAAGAGATGCCGGAGCTGTTCTCGCCGAACGAGAGGCAGCCGTTGCTGCTGCTGAAGCAACTCTCAATGAAAATTTCCCCGGTGTAAGGGAGATGTTGGCAACTGCAGCTGAAGATGCTGTCCGCGCTAGAGAGGTCGCCGTAGCTGCTCAAGCTCAACCGCGATATGATGATTAAAGAATAGTTGAAGCAGTTGAAAGGCCGATTTCGATTTGGTTATTGCGTGTTTGTCACCAGTCGCCAATGAATTACGTTTGGACACCTCTACTGTTACATTCGCACCTGCAATTATAAACACTCGCTGCTACCAATTGCTTCTGGTATGTAGTTGACTTCATAGCTTTGAATTGCTGTAACAGAAGAATGTACAAATCACCTGATTAATGAATCAGCTCATTTTTGTTTCGGCCAGAAGAAGCATTATAAGTCGATGTAGTTAAACCGTAAGAAGCTTTCGTTTTTCAACTCATGTACAAAAGCTAATGAAACCCATCCTCCCATTAGCAGTACATTTCCTCTGTTATCATTCAGACTCCTTCCTCATATGTTTGAGAAAACTTGACAAAAGCAAATAGTATTAGATTTCCCCATTACGATATAAATTACATATATATTGCTTGCAGTTGAAGTTGGAAAAGCGCCTAAACAAACAAAACTGCACATTATTCTTTCCTCAACAAACCCAACACAAATCCACCTCTCAAAACTAAGGTGGCTGTTGAGTCTATAAAACTATACCAATGGGGCAGAGGGAAACAAAACCCACAAAAGAACAGCATCAACACAATTCCTCGATCCTGTACTACTATCTTCCATCTAAACCTTGCAAAGCCGTCTTCACTTCACAACATGACTGACATTGTTGCATCGTCATCATCGCGGCCGCCCATTATTTATCTTCGAGCAGTCGCGCTGTATGATCAGTCAGAGCAATGGAAAGCTCAGAGCTTTCTGTTGCCCTATGTCATGACCCTGTGCTTGTCTTCTCGCTGCTTCTTCGTCAAGTCTCGCTCTCTCGCATCACCCTGTTCCTTGCTGATCGCGTCAGCATCCTCTTCTCGCATGAGGTACTTGTCAACTTGGGATGCAGTCTGTCTTCCCTCGGATATAGCCCATACGACGAGGGACTGTCCTCGTCGGCAATCCCCAGCAGCGAACACGCCTTCCACGTTTGTTGAGAATCGGCCGTAATCAGCCTTGAAGTTTGATCGTGCATCTCTCTCCATGCCCAACTTCTCGGCCAAGTTCTGTAGAAGAACAAGAATAAGAAATTTGAGTAAACGAATCATGAGAAGACTGAGCAGTAAGTAAGCAGACAAGAGAAGGATAACTGACCGCCTCGGGACCAAGGAAGCCCATTGCTAGCAGGATGAGATCAGCCTCGATCATTTCCAACGAACCTTCTACCTCCTTGAACTGGAACTTCCCACTAGCATCCTTCTCCCAGTTGACCTTGACCACCTCAATCCCCTTGAGCTTCCCATTCTCGTCTCCCACGAACCGTTTGGTCAGCACTTGGTAAGACCGTGGGTCCTTTCCAAATTTGTTTGCAGCTTCTTGATGTCCATAGTCAACCCGGAAGACACGAGGCCACTGCAAAACAAAGATTGAATGATGATGAGCAATGTTACAGACTGCGATCAGGGTTTTATGATGCTAAGATTCAGACCTGAGGCCAAGGGTTGCCTGCTGCTCGAGTCTTCGGTGGCTCGGGCAACAGCTCTAGATTCACAATGCTGTTGCAGCCATGACGGATGGATGTCCCAATGCAGTCGGTCCCTGTATCACCTCCACCGATGACCACCACTTTCTTCCCCTTCGCGGATATGTAGTTGCCGTCCTCCAGGTTGCTGTCGAGCAAGCTCTTCGTGTTGGCGTGAAGGAACTCCATGGCGAAATGGACTCCCTGCAGGTCCCGTCCAGGTACAGGAAGGTCCCTTGGCTTGGTGGCTCCGACTGCCATAACAATGGCGTCATTGCCCTCCCGGAGCCTTTCTAGAGAATACTCAGGGTCAACTCCAACGTTGGCATTGACTACAAAGTCGATGCCTTCCTCTGCCATGAGGTTGACACGTCGTTGAACTACGTCCACTTTGTCAGTCTTCATGTTGGGGACTCCGTACATCATAAGCCCTCCGATTCGGTCAGAACGCTCATAGACAGTCACTGAATGGCCCATTCTGTTCAGCTGATCAGCAGCAGCCAAACCTGCTGGTCCACTTCCGATTATCGCAACTCGCTTCCTGCAATACCGAATGCTCTCCTTCATGAATAAAAGACATATAGACAAGTAAACAGAGGCTTCTCATTGAGTGATGACATACCCAGATCTTTTGAGAGGAGGCCTTGGCTTCATCCACCCTTCTTCAAAAGCCTTGTCGATGATAGCACATTCAATATTCTTTATAGAGACGGGATTCTCAATTATGCCAAGAACACAAGAGCCTTCGCACGGAGCAGGGCACACGCGGCCAGTGAATTCTGGGAAGTTATTTGTCTCGAGAAGACGATCCAATGCTTCACGCCATCTGTTTTGATAAACTAACTCGTTGAACTCGGGTATTTTGTTTCCAAGTGGGCATCCCGAGTGCTCCTGCAACAAAGAAGCAAATTAGAGAAGAGCGTCAGACAAATCTCTTCCCACCATTACCGAAATGGGTAAGCAAAAGCAGAAAAAAGCTATAGCTCTCACCTGATGGCAGAAAGGAGTACCACAATCCATGCAGCGAGCTGACTGAGTATTTAAAAGAGGACCAGGTTTAGATTCCTCCATTACTTCATTCCAGTCATTCATTCGGACATTAGGATCCCTGTACTGAACACCTTCACGCTCATACGCAACAAACCCACGATGCTTAACAGCATCATTGACCCGACTTGGCCTCTTCGATTCTGCAGTTTCATCCACCTGTCCATACCAAAACAAGAGACAGACATCAGAATCTATAAGCAGGATATCAACCATGAAAATGTTCAAGTCAAACACTCCAACTAAACCTTGGATAGGTCTTCCTCTCACAATTTTTATGGCTCAATCTGACAAGTCAAATACATTAGCGGGCCCAAGAGGCAAAAGCATCATTCAGTTTTCAAATGTGACCCATCAGAAATCAGAAATAAGACCCACCTGAATGGATTTGTCATTCACTGATGCAGCTGCTAACATTTTGAGTTCGTTAAAGGCATCTTTCGGAGTCAACTCCACCTCATCTTGATCCTCAGTTTCCTTAGCCATCTTCTCAGCAACCTCTGTAGCAGCTGATTGACTCTTCATGCTAGCAAGCACACGCTTGTAATCTCTCGGGAAGACCTTGATGAACTTAGGCAGGAGACCGTCAAAATCAGCCAACACTTCCTTAGCCAACTGGCTGTTAGTGTTACGCTGATGCTGTTGTATTGTCATTCTGAGAGTCATGATGTCCTCTTCTTCCTCGACTCGATCGAGATCCACCAACTCAGGGTTGCAACGAGAATGGAATTTCCCATCGATATCGAGAACATAGGCAATGCCACCACTCATGCCTGCAGCAAAATTCCTTCCTGTTTTTCCTAGCACAACGACAGTGCCACCTGTCATGTACTCACAACCATGATCACCAACTCCTTCAACAACTGCAGTAGCTCCGGAGTTCCGTACACAGAATCTTTCTGCAGCCATACCGTTGAAATATGCTTCACCGCTGATAGCTCCATACAGAGCTACATTACCAATCACTATGTTCTCTTTCGGATCAAACAAGCTTCCTTTTGGTGGATAAACCACGATTTTTCCACCTGACAATCCTTTTCCAACATAGTCATTGCTGTCACCCTCGAGCTCTAGTGTTATCCCGGGGCAAAGGAAAGCACCGAGACTCTGCCCAGCACTTCCATCGAGTTTCACATGAATGGTGTCTTTTGGAAGTCCTGCCAGATTATACCGCTTGGTGACTTCATGACTCAGCATTGTACCGACAGCACGGTTCACATTGCATATTGGCGTCTCGATGTACACTGGAAGACCCTTCTTCAAGGCCGGGTTAGATAGCTTGATGAGTTTTTGATCCAGAGCCATGTCCAGGCCATGGTCCTGCTTCTCCACGCAATACTGAGCAGCCTCTGGTCGGATGTCAGCAGCAGGTCTAAGTAGAAGTGAAAGATCAATGTTTTCAAGCTTTTCGTTGTTCTTCACAACATCTCTATCAACTTCTAGCATATCTGCACGACCAACCATCTCGTTAAGCGTGCGGAAACCTAGCCCGGACATTATCTCCCTAAGCTCTTCAGCTAGCATGAAGAAAAAATTGATGACGTGTTCAGGCTCTCCAGCAAACTTTTCTCTGAGAACTGGATCTTGAGTGGCAATGCCAACCGGGCACGTGTTTTTATGGCACTTTCTCATCATGATGCATCCAAGAGTTATGAGAGGTGCTGTGCTGAAGCCAAACTCTTCTGCACCGAGAAGTGCAGCAACTGCTACATCTCTTCCAGTTTTTAGTTGACCATCGGTCTGAAGAACAGTTCGGCCTCGAAGGTTGTTGGCAACAAGTGTTTGGTGAGTCTCGGCCAAACCAAGCTCCCACGGGAGCCCAGCATTTTTAATGCCGGTCCATCTAGAAGCACCGGTACCTCCATCATGACCTGAAATCAAGACGTGATCAGCATGACCCTTTACCACCCCACTAGCTATCACACCCACGCCAGCTTCAGATACCAACTTGACGCTAATCCGAGCTCCTGGATTAGCATTCTGCAATTAAGATTAGGAGGTTTGAATTAGTTGACTGGTTGGACAAAAAAAATCGGAATTGGAACATCGCATTCCATGAAACGAACTGCATTGAAGGTGGAATGGCAAGCAGGAAATACATCCTACCTTGAGATCGTGAATCAGTTGAGCAAGGTCTTCAATTGAATAGATATCATGATGAGGAGGAGGGCTGATGAGACCAACACCAGCGGTGGAGTTTCGGGTTACTGCAATATCTCCTATAACCTTATGTCCAGGTAGCTCGCCACCTTCGCCAGGCTTGGCACCCTGCAAAAATGTTATGCAAATCAGCAAGATGGTAATAACTGAGATAAATGAACTCATTTTGGTGTTTAAAGAAAGATCGCAGCATTATCTGCCATGAAGAACATAGATCTTGGTCCTATCAAGAATCCAGGGTCTCAAAGGAACCGAGCACATATTCAACAAATTCAAATCTTCAATCTTAAAACTTTTCATTATTAGATACCTGAGCCATCTTTATCTGCAATTCATCAGCATTTGTGAGATAGTAACTTGATACACCAAACCTCCCACTTGCAACCTGCTTAATTGCACTCCGTTTTGGATTTCTCGTACCATCTGAAAAAGGCTCCATTCTAGACGGTTGCTCACCTCCCTCACCTTATTATGCAGAGGACACCCATTAAGAACACCCAAGGCAAAGCAGAATGAGAAAATTAAACAAAGAACAGATAGGGTCGATCAAGCATACCTGTGTTAGACCTCCCTCCAATTTTATTCATCGCAACAGCGAGAGTTGAGTGAGCCTCCAATGAAATAGACCCATAACTCATAGCCCCGGTGCAGAATCGTTTCACAATCTCGCTGGCAGGCTCCACCATATCCAGTGGAACCTTCACTGCAGAGTCTTTAAACTTCAGAATCCCCCTCAAATTACAGGCTTTGTTTAATTCTTGAATGCGTTTAGAATACTCTTTATAAGCATCTACACTATTGGCTCTGGCAGCTTCTTGGAGCTTTGCTATGGCAAGAGGATCATTCAAGTGAATTTCACCTCCCTTTCTCCAGTGGTAATCCCCTGGATTTGGCAGTGCGACGGCCTCTGCACTTCCAGGAGGTAGAGCTCGCCTAGGGAATGCCAACTCGTGCAAATGAAGAGAATCACGGGCGAGCATCTCAAATGTAGCTCCCTCAACTCTGCTTGGAGTTCCAGCAAAGCACTTCTCAATCACCTCAGATGAAAGACCAAGAGCTTCAAAAATCTGAGCACCCTTGTATGAGGCCAGTGTTGATATCCCCATTTTGGCAAGAACCTTCATCATGCCATAGTTGCTTGCTTTGTAATACTTTTTCACCAACTCATTCTTCGAGTGAAACTCGCCATTAGATTTTGGTGGAATCTTCCCATCAACCTGGAGTCTCCAAATAGCCTCTACGGCCAAGTATGGGCATATAGCATCTGCACCAAATCCGACCAAAGTACAGAAATGATGAACTTCACGTGGTTCCGCAGACTCCACAATCAAACCTACTTGAGTTCGCTCAAGCTTTCTCACAAGGTGATGATGGACCGCACCAACAGCCAAGAGTGAGCTCACAGCAACCCTTGTCGAAGAAAAGGCTGGACAAAGAGGCACAAAGAAGATGAAAAGAAGAACGAGGAACTGTGTATTGCTAACTTTCAATTAGCTGTAATTAGGCAAGTACATAAATGAATAGTCCTACACATACCTCTATCGGAAAGAACTAGCAAGGTGTAACCTTCCTTGATTGCAGAATGTGCTTCAGCACAAATCCTATCCAAGGTTTCCTCCAATCCCTTCCGGCCACGGTCCCTTGAATAAGTTATGTCGAGAACTTTGCTCCGCCAACCCCTGTAGTTCATCTTCTTAACAGCCTCAACTTCATCAATTGTCAGGAGAGGGCCCTTCAGTGAAAGGCGGTGGCATTGCTCTTCAGTTGTTTCTGTCAGATCACCTTCAGGGCCAATCATGCATTCCGTTGAAGTGACGATTTTCTCTCTAATGGGATCAATTGGAGGATTTGTAACTTGAGCGAACATTTGCTTAAAATATTCATAAGTGAGCTTATCTCTGTCGGACATAACAGCCAGTGGAGTATCATTTCCCATTGAGCCAAGAGCCTCGCTGCCATCTTTTGCCATGGGAAGCAACAACATCTCCAAGGCTTCCACCGTATAGCTTCATAAATACAAGATATAACATGAAAAATTAGTTCCAATTTAACACCGTGAGTATGGCTTTGCATTATAGCGACCACATACCCAAAAGCTTTCAATGGCGCCAGCAAACCATGAATACCCATGTTCTCCATGTTTTCATCGTTTTTTGAAGCCTGTACATCGAAACAGTAGGATTAGCACAGCCCCATCGCCAATGTAAAGGAATAAAATTAAAGTAACAAAAGACATACCGGAACAACACCCGCCAGCTCTGGGGGGACTCTGTCAGATTCAGGAATTGTCTCAATTATATCCTTCAGTTCAATCTTTTGCCTCTTCAACCAGTCGCCATATGGCCTTGATAGAGAGTATTGCTGCTTCAATGCCTCATCGTCCACAACAATGTGCTTTTCAAAATCCACCAGAAGCATCATTCCAGGGTTAAGCCTTCCTTTCCTAAGCACATCTTCAGGAGGCACGTCAACAACACCAACTTCACTGGCCATGATAACTCTCCCACTTCGAGTAACATAGAACCTGCCAGGACGCAAGCCATTGCGATCTAGTGTAGCTCCAAGGTAGTGGCCATCAGTGACTGCACATTCCTCACACATGTCAGCAAACAAGAGCTAAACTAAGAGACTAAGAGATTAAACCAAACTAAGAGACTAAGAGCTAGCAGCAGCACTGAAAAGGTGACTATGTCATAAAAAATCATTACATGAGACAAGTGCAGGCCCATCCCATGGCTCCATGAGACAAGAGAAGTACTCGTATAATGCTTTCCTTTGTGGGTCCATGTTCTTATCATTTTGCCAGGCTTCAGGGATCATCATCATGACAGCTTCAGGGAGACTTCTCCCAGCTCGAACCAGAAGTTCAAGGACACCATCAAATGCCCCTGTAGAGGGCAGCTTAAAAATGTAAGCCTGAGAGTTGAAACTGAATGAATTATATTGATTATGAACACTTGGAAACAAAATTACCAAATATTACCAGAGTCGGATGAACTAGCATCAACAATTGGCAAGAGCTTCTTCATCTCATTCTTAGAGAGCCCAAGCTCCTTGCATTTCAATAGACCCTCACGTGCTCTCATCCTGAATAAAAAAAGTCAACACTTTAGCTTCTACCTTCGACAGGCTCAGTATCACATTATTTTCAAAATAGCCTACCAGTTCACGTTGCCCCTAAGAGTGTTGATTTCGCCATTGTGGCCCAAGACACGCATTGGTTGAGCACGATCCCAGCTAGGGAAGGTGTTGGTCGAAAAGCGAGAGTGTACCTGTAGAAAACATTATAGGAACCAAAATTGTTATTCTATAGTTTCACTTAATAGGAAAAGCCAGAAACGTAAATAATTGTATGCAAACTAGATGCATGCGCTGTTTTTTTGGAGATAAAGGAGTTGACGTGGTGGCATAACAGAATCGTGTTCACCCTAAGCTACCTTGACCAAACAAAACATCCTTTCAACCACCAACTGGGAGTGTCCTCTTCAAACAACTGACCAGATACAGCAGTGCAGTAAGTTTCTGCAAACATGTTTGACAATGAGACTTCTGCCAACTCCAACAAGGCCATCCAATCCAGCCATCCAAATTCAATTAGTAATCAAGGGTGTGGAGAATACTTAAGAGACCATTCATACTTCAATGCCTCAGAAGTCATCCCCAACCTTGCATATGTCCCCAGATACTGGTGGTTCCCATGCTGTTTTATTGAGGCATGAGTTAGTGGAGAAAGCATACAAGTCAATGGATAATTATATTTACCAGGGCCATGTAGCTCGTAAACCTTTCATTCCCAAGATCCGCATAGTAGTATTCCGACAGCTGTACAGGCTTCAGCTGACCTTTGTAAACAACAGTCCTGATTGAAACCAGCTGAAGCCATTAATGCTATTCACAAATGGAACAGGGCACAGAAAAAACTCAAATCAAAATCCCAATTCAAAATAGTTACCTAGATGACAGAGAACATATATAGAAGTCACGGACAGCGCCATGTTGGAGGTTCAGTGCAGCTCGGATAGCTACCATGGATACCCTCCGTAATATATACATCTGCCAGTAAACATCAATCATCAGAACCAGAATATATTATCTAGTTACAACTTCCATCAGGATGGTCTGATCATATACATCATTTACTCCTCGCAATTGACTAAAAACAAGAACCAGCCAACTTGCGAAAGAAGACGTACCTGCTGTTCAAAATCAGCTTTTGACCTAGGAGTTGGGGTGAGAAAGACCTGCTCAATCACAGGCTCCGTCTGCAAAGCAGACTGCCCCAGCCCAGAGTTATCTGTCGGCACAGGCCGCCATCCAAGAACTCTGTGGCCAAGCGACTCGGCAACCTACAATGACAGTCAAACCAGCATTACATTTGAAACCAAGTATTTACCAAACGGGTAAGCAAAGGTCAACACAGCATTTCCCCAAGAGAATAGAGCTTTGAATTCACCTTAGTAAAAACATTTTTGCTTTCCTCCCTGCGGTTGTCTGAGGTGGGTAAAAAGAACATGCCAACTGCATATTCTCCCGGTGAAGGCAGCTCAAACCCAAGATCCTTTGCAACCTGAAGAAAACAAATCGAAATTATATCACCGAACACAATAAAATTCAGTAATTTACGACTAAAACACAGTCTAAGAAAAATGGCGGGCGACAATTCTGTAGAAAAGAACACTCCATCCCATCTATAATAAGACGAATATATATTCAGACATCGCTGAAACTCTCTCTTACAATTGGTGAGCCAATTACTAACTGGGAAAACCAACGACGGATTAGCCTTCAGTTTTTTCACTTTTCAAAGGGTCCAAAAAACCAGAGCAAAAAATTTGTCACTACCGCATTTTGACCCAAGCTATCTCCATCCAGCAAGATCAATAAATAGTAAGGACAATGAAAACAAAAGGAAATTAATCCAAATGTCGTTAATTCGCTTACATACCATAAATTGTTAACCCATTATTATCATCCGAATCAAACTCAAAACAAACATTCAATTCAACCCAGAAATCAAATTCAATCAATAAGTCTTTTCAAAAAACAATTTAGAGTTCTACCTCTTTGTAGAAACCGTGAGGAAGACCGACGAGAATCCCAGCTCCGTCACCGGTATTAGCTTCACAGCCACAAGCTCCCCTGTGAGTCATGCGAACCAACATTTCCACCGCATCGGTTACCTAATTTGACATCGCCGGAGTTACAATAAAAATACCATCAGGTTCCCGGTCACATATATTCAACCAATTCTCAATACACCGCTAAGAGTAACCGAATAGATACTAACCGTCTTCCGATTGCTGTCTCCGGACAACTCCGCGACGAATCCCACACCGCAAGAGTCCTTATCGAAAGAAGGATCGTAAAGACCGAGGGGCTTCTCCGGCACACCGGACAATGCGGACCGGACCACCACCCGGAGCTTCGGCGACCTCCCCGGCCCGTCCGACTGCCACACGTGCAGCCTCTCGGGTCCGTGAGGCCTCAATCGTGTCCCGAAGAGCTTCGATTTCTCCAGACCGGCCCTGGCGGCGACGACGGAGCATCGCGTCCTCCCTCCTCCCCGACGAGGATAAGAAGGGACCGCGAATACAGGGGAACGAGACGACGTCTTGTTTGGCTTGAGGAGCGGCGAGGCTGTAGCTCCCTGCTGAAGCAGATTGCTCATAGTTCCACTACCCGACATTTTCGGAACCGCAACAACTGTTTCTCCGGAAATTTCAAATCGATTCGAACTCAGAGAATCCAAGGCCAGATCCAGGAGAAATCCAACGAGAGAGAAATAGGCACAGGTGAATTCGTTTTTTTGTTATTACATAAGCCAGATCTCTACGAATTTTTTTCTCTATCACACACTGATCTTCTGATCACATGCACCGACGGAATTTACGAGATCCGGCGAAGGAAAAGGTTAGGAAACGGAGCTGGCAGAGGCAGGAAAATACAAAGAACAGAGAGGAGACAGGAAGGAGTTAAGAACGAGACAGAGAAAGAAAAAAATAACGAGAGCGGCGGCGGCGGCGGCGGACGGTGGGTGGCAGGCAGCAGCTGGCCGGCGAGAGCTGGGATATCGGGAGCGTTTGGTGTAAGCGTTGAGAGAGGCAGAGGAGCGATGGATTTATAGAAGAATTGGAAGGAAGTGAAAGGGTTGGGGGAGGAGTGTGTGGGACCCACGACGGCTAAATTTAACCCAATTGTGATACATAGCGGGGCAGAGTTCTCTGGGTCACAGGTCTGTCACCCATTTCTGTGTAACCGCTCAATTTATTATTATTATTTTTGTGGTGAATCAGTAGCTTGCCAATTTTGTGAATTTTTTTTTCCTTTTAGAGAGTTTTTTTTTCTGAATTTTTTCGATGTATTGTGATTACTGTGCTCTTTTTTCAGATAAGTGTTAATTGTTTGAATGGAATGTTATTAAATTAAATCCAGGCATTTTACCATAAATATTGTCTTGAGCATATTTGAAATTTGTTGATAGTTATTCATAAAAAAAAAAAAGATTGTTGATTAGTATGGAATGTTCCTATCTGTTATGTTCGATCAAATTAAAACAATGTAATTGATATTATTTTTGTTTATCCTTTTAATGTTATCATTCTATGATGAATTTGTATGGCCTTCAAATTTTGTGGAGTCTTTTGGAAGCATTTAATTTTTTAAATTACTTAACCAATAATGTAAATATGAACTTATACCGGAGTTAACCAAGTGAAATTAAAAATTTCAGGACTACCATGATAAATTTGTGGTATTAGGACCATGATCACTTGGGTTTGGTATACGATTGAACCACGATAAAACATGATAGGTTTTGACAAACTTCAAATAGTAAGAATGTTATTGGTTGATTGCAAACATATGTTAAATTGAAACGATATACACCAAATGAGCTTCTAAAAAAACGTTCGGCACTTTGACAGCTCATATTGCAACACCACGTCCACGTGTATGGTATATCTGTACAGGCCGGTGATAACCGCTCATAATGGGACCCATTTTAATTGAGATAGCGACACTCACTTTATGATCTCTTTATGACATGTGAGGCGACTACGTTTTTTACACTTGGTTCTCGACCTACTCACCCAAACCCCGAACTATCTAATTAGCTATTTTTTATTGTTTCATTTGACAATTGACACCTACAAGTTGCTAGGCCACAGTTCATATTAATTGTGTCTAAAAACAATTATGATATTTCATTACTTTGACATTTTCTTTTTCTACAAATTATGATATTTCATTGGAGCGGAAAAACGAACATATAAAATAGAGGAAATAGATTTTTAGATTATATATTTTCTGGGTCATAATTTAGTGGGCCATCATCTAATAGGTTATTATTATTAATTTGAAATGTTGTGGGCCAATGAATTTGGTAATAAGGTGAATCCAGATTTTTGTTTCCATAATCATATAAAATCAAATTTCAGCATTTTGATTTTCGTTCTTTCCCTCCTTCTCTTTCCATTTCCGTCTCAGAAAATTAAACGAGATGATGGCAACATATTGAAGTTTGGTATCACAAGCAGTTTTGAGTTTTAACTCTATAAAATACAGGCGTGGTTGATAAGGATAATGATATATCACCGATTAAGCTAAACTAAAGATGCTACATGAAAACAAAACAAAATAGGGTTTTTTTTATTATAATGGTGATAATAAATTGAAAGGAAAAAAGAACTGAAACAGAAAAAGAGATGGTCTTATATTACATAGGAGCAAAATTTTCAATAAAAATAACCATAAAATTTCATCAATCTTAACCATGCTTTAGTAAAAAAATTAAGGCCATTTCCTAAAATCAAGACAAGTATCATAGATTAGAACAAAAATTAACTTTTTCCGCGCAATTCTATCAGTAAAAATATGTGCGGTAATGGTAAATCAAGGCTGTTGTTTTTGGGAAACCGGTGGCAGAGTTGACTATGAGTATGAGGCCGCAGCGTGTGACGCGAGGCATGACGCCGAATTTCGAAACCAAGCCAAAAGTGGAAGTAAAAACAAAACAAAATACATGGAAATAATTAATTGGCAAATGCGGCTAATCGTATTCGTATGCGTAATTACCATAACCAGTACTTTTTTCTTTGTTTCTTTTTTTCCTCCGATTTTTTATATGCGGCCAATTGTGAAAGTGAATTAATTTTAATTTGTTCGATTACTAATTGAGAGTCATTAAACTATCCATGGAGATGGCAAGAGATTCACGACCAGGGATTACAACAAGTTCGGGTAAGAACAATGGTGGATCCCGGGGTGGTCATTCCGGGCCACGGCCCAACCTTCTTCTAGATCGGGAGCTAGTATAGTACTTATAAGTTTATCGATTTAGTCATTCGGTCTAATGTTATTTTATAATAAAATTTTGTGTAATTGAGAAAATGGGTTAGATGAACATGTTCAGATCACAACTCTAAATTTAGTCTAGAAATTCTAGTTCCAATGATTCTCTTCTAAATAAAAACAAACAATGTAACCTATAACTCTAAAACGTAAAAGACTAAAAGAACTATGAGGTTTGTTCAAAGAAGGATGAACACACAATACAAATTGATTAGTCGATTGATTTGTCTAGCGTTGAGATTGCCCATAACATTTTGTTGGTGAGACCATTAGCCTTATGGATCCAGGCTTTCACCATCAGTGTTTGCAAAACGGTGTATTGCACCGGCAGTTAGACTGGAAAAATCGTCTAATCTAAATTGAAATTGGTAGGCAATTTTATTGGTATGAAATAATTGAACCACAATTCAACATAAAATATCACGGACTTTTTATGTACAATATTCAACACGATTTGCAATCCTTATTTTCCATATATCCCTCTCCTCTCTCTTTCTTATATTTTCTTCATGTCCATTATTATATTTATATGAGTGAATACGTGAAATTGATAATTTTGGTTCAGTAATAGTGAACAAAAAAAAGGTTCATTGCATATCAATCCCATGAAATAGATTTGATTATATATAGGACAGCATTTGTTTGTGTTATGGTCAAGTGTTCAATCATCGTGGCTTGCATGCTTGAGTTCCCACCAACTCCAACGTCCCCATCATCTAGAAATCCTAAAATTGGTCAAGGAAAAGCTCTAGAGATCATTCCTTGTCATCAATGTAATTCGAGAATTAAATATGCATTGATGCGACATGCGAGTATTTTGAATTTTAACAAATAAGAGCAATATAGAATATAACTTTAGGCCGATCGCTAAAATGAGTAGATGATATTGTGCAAAGACTTATTTTAAAACTCTTTAGTACAAAATTTGTCAACAACAATAATCTTAGTATAAAAGAACATGTAATTTAGACAAAAACAGGTCGAGAATGGGGTGAATCGGGTTAAGGAGAGTACTCATGTGGTCATGCCCGCTTCGTTCAGCCTACGGGACAGGTTTTACCCACCTCAAAATCGGATAAAACGGATAAGATCGGAATTTTTCATACGGGACGATAGAAGAAATTTGCAATCAGGTGGGTCAATATTGTACTTGGATCACAGAGATAAGGTTCCAGCTAGGACCATAGTTAGTAAAATACGGTACGGGAAAGTTACGTAAAAATTACGTACGGGTATTTTACGTCGTCTCTAAGCTAAAGTTACGTTTAATAGTACGTTAATAGCAATAAATATATAAAAAGTAATTATTTTAAAAATAAATAAATATATAAATAATAGTAAAGTTCACAATTTAATTCATTAAATACGGATATTAAACGTGTTATACGGGTTTTATACGTGTTTAGTACGGGAGTCATCCAATGAACGGGGAAAAATGAAACGGCTTGACAATAATACGGATACGGAAGTTTTAAACGGATAAAGTACGTACGGGTACATATACGTGTATTAAACGGAGTATTTACTAACTATGGCTAGGACATGATAATAACAAAACATTGTCTCTGAGATTGTCTCTGGATATTGAACCAACACTATCTTTCTTTTATCTCCCTTTTCTGCTGTGGAAATTAGCGAGAGTTTTGGTTCGACTTTTCGTTTTCATATCTGATCTTCTGGTCGTTTGTTAGAGTCAATTGGACAAAGCATGGATGGGCCGTCGTAACCGCAAATAGACTTCTCACATGTGCTTTCTAGTTTCTATCAATGTAATTTCAATTATAAATTGTTTTTTTTCCCCCTAGTTAGCCAGCATGCAGAATCATATATAATAGTGTGATTCGCCTACAAAAAGGGGGAAAAAAATAGTGTGATTCACGGTAGCGTGTTTGAACTTCCACGATTACTTATAAAAAATCTTATTGCTTGTCGTTTTATATGTGACGGTACACAACTTTCTTATGAATTCGAAAAATTATTTTGATATAATTAGATTCAACAAATTATCATATCATGGTCTTAAATTCTTAATCCACTATGAGCTTAATCATCCTCTCATTGTTTTCAACAGTTTTTGTCTACTTATTTGCCAACACCAACTAGCTAGACCAATGAAAATAACGTGCCCATGGTGCGATTTTGACAGATAGGAAAACTTTGGGGACCATTAATTAATAATCATCCGCTGCCCAACCAACCATGCATGCAGGGCCAAAAACGACGACGTGTCAATGATGGGTTCTTTCCCTCACGAAGAGGGAATCAACTATGGGATAGTCTATCTTAGAGAGAGAGAGAGAGAGAGAGAGAGAGAGAGAGAGAGAGAGAGAGGCCGTTTTTCGTTTCGGTTACAAAGATTCCGATGGAGATCGACGTGGTCACTTCCAGAACTGGACACGTCAGTTATTATTATTTGTTGGGGTCAAATCAGAAGTAACTGATTTTCAGATGACTCGGAATGAATCTAGCTTTTTATATGTTCCATCTCTCGATCGAGTCAAAAGAGGAAATCAGGGAAAAGGAAGAAGAAGATTCTTGATGATATATGATAAATGTAATAAAGGTAAAATGATTTTATTTATTCGAGTAAAGACTACATATGCTTTAGATAAATATGTGTCAACTGTCAACAATGATGTAATCAGATCGAAGCAAATATTTATACTCGTTTTATCTACGATGCTGGTATTACTCGTCTTGAAACATATCGGACTATATGGGGTATAATTAAACGCGGTATGGAAATTATCATCTCTATCCTTGATCGAGTGACAGAAAAAGAAAAGGTAGTCATTCAATGATTCATGAACACATGC